CAAAATTAACTTTTGAATTAGAGAAAATCCTTGTGAATGTAAAAGTTTCTTCTCAATTGAATGGTCTCTCTTTTTACTGCCTACACAATCCAAATTATATAAAGATACTTCTAAAAATGTCACTCGTGAGACACCAAACAAAGCACTTGAATTAAGAATTCTTTTTCCAGTAAGGAAAGCCTTTTTCTTTTTGAACAAAAGGGGAATGGGAGGACGGAAAAAGGGAATCATATTTTTTTAGTTTTGAATTGTTTAAATTATAACCAAGATCAATGGTAATCTCTTTTCATTTAAAATAAAAGATTTTGAATTTGAATCACATGACGCGCAGCTGAGATGAGATAAAAAAGGTGATAAGATGAGAAATAATTGTTTTTTATTGTACAATTAAAATAAAAAAATAAAAAATAAAAATTATTAAATAATAAGAGAACATCTAATATTAAGGATTTAATTCTTATTTATTAATTAATATTATATAGTTTAATATAATTCTGATATTTTTTTAATAAAAAATAAAGACAAAACAGGGAGAAATAATTAAAAGGAGGCAAAAACCCATTAGGATGCCCCCCAACTTTTTAAGTTGAGAGTTTTTGCACCTGGCTTTTTAAAATAAGAATATATGCCCTCATACTAATCAACTTGAGTAAGTGAGGACAATATTAACACTTTCCTTTTAAATGCGTCACGCGGGTTTCTCCTCCGTTATCCGAGTACAAATCAGCCCCAAAGGCGATGACGAGAGTTGCTTTACTGGCATGCCAACGTGGCATAGGCAAAAAGAGAACGTAAACATAACTTCTTTAAAGAGAACATTAACTATAAGGTTGGAACTTGTTTAAGATTTAATTAAATTGTGGTGATTTCAGGTTGGGACTAGGAAAAATTAGACAAATGCCATGGTAAATATAAGGCTTAATTAATATGGTATATATAAAGATTCAGTACACATCAAGAAACATATTTTTTAAAAATTTTAATATAATTGCAGTTTTTTAATTTTTTTTTAAATTAAAAACTTTGATATAATTTATGTATTTATTTATAATATTATCAAAATAAAGAGATAAAATATAAAGATAAAATTTTTGTGA